TTCCATTTCCCTTAACCCAAATATATTATAAGGTATGATTCAACTAGTTAAGAGTATGTAATTTTAAGTTAAAGATTTTAGATTGGAATTTTGAGTAAGGTGAAAAGAGATTTGAAAAATAAAGAGTTATCTTCTATTGTATAATACATCATTAGATACACTAAAAAAAATTTCCGTTTTCTACTCTAAGAACAAGACCTTTCTACTCGTCATTTACATAAATTATTTTAATTAGTTAATTAATTAATTTAAAGTCAATTTTTATAATTTTTTATATAAATTAATTACAAAAAATTATATTTATTGTATTTTCAATCTATGCAATAAAAACTTATTAATATATTATGAGTTAAAGATTAGGAACATGTTAGTTAAGTTTCGACATCTCCTAATGATAGACAAGACAGCAAACTAGTAGAACCATTGTAAGATGGTTATTAAATGTTGCACAACATTATATTTATTGACATTTAATTAAATTGACATTTAATTAAATCGACAATTTCACTAGTTTAACTAATTAAACTGATCAAACTGAAACCTAGAGGTCAAAACAATTTGACCTTCGAGTTGATTTTCAAAACACTCATTCTATGCTTGTAATTTGAAACTCAAAATGACCTAATTTGATGACTCAAAATAAAAAATTACTGAAGCCAAACTGAGATGAGCTCAACCTGACTGCTAGGTCTACTCTTGATTGAATAACCTACTTCCCATGCGTCGCTCATCACATTGCCAAACCCTTTCCAAGTCCGCTCAAGTGCTGCCACATTAAATAATTAAAATTTAGGGAGCCATAGAATTAGAGTAGAATAAAATGTTTATCTTTTTAAATTAAAACATGAAAAAACAACAACTAATATTGGATATATTTTGATAAAAAATTTACGCATGAAGTAGAAATAATTTCGAATGTCCTATGCCAGAATAATAAACATTTTTATGATTTTATTTTCCAATTAAAAATTTAAGAACAATTTATATTTTACTTATTTTATTCTTAAAAAGGAAATAAAACTAAAGATACTTTTTAATGATGGAATAAATAATTAAAGTCAAGATATATTAATGAGTTTCCTTTACAAAACTTAAGGGTGAAATAAACATATTTTTTAATTAATTTATATAAAAAATTATAAAAGTTAACTTTAAATTAATTAATTAATGAATTAAAATTATATACGTGTTAATATTGTTAAAATAAATATTAGTTTTTATAATTTTTATATAAATTAATTATAAAAAATTTCATTTATTAAACTTTAAAATATAAATTAAACAAATTTTATATTAATTTTAATATAAAAAGTCAACAATATTTCACTTCACATTATGTGGAGGAACTTGATAAAAAGTTGAAGAAAAATTCGATTCGTTGAAAGATATTTTCAATTTTTTTCTTCTTAAAAATAAAAGAAATAAAATCTTAAGGAAGAGATATCAATTCCAAGGTGATACCCTAGTGGCAAAAGTTATTGAAAATCTACTTGGAGTCATGTGTACGAACCTTAGAGGTGGCAAATCTGAGGAAATTTTCTCAAAAGCTTTAAACTGTCTGATTTAACAATTTGTAATGGTTTTATTGGTTATGAACGATTCAACCTTCATAACTGTTTTAACTTTTAAGTATTCATATGATTCGTTTAAGTTATCGGTTGTTTGCAGTATGGTTTGGTTCAAATTTTAATATTTTTTAAATTAATTTAATTTAATCGGTTAATAAAATTTTTAAATCAATCCAATTCACTATTGTATGATAACCAAACCAATCCAACGTAAATTGGATTGGTATGGTTCAGTCGGATTGTTCGGTTTTTATCATTATTAAATATATGAGATAATGTAAAAATATTTTAACATCAAATAAAAAATATAATTATAAAACACATTAACATCCAAATTAGTAAAAACATAATAAAAGATATAAATTATAAATAAGTTTTTATACTCCTTTACATTTGTAAAAATTGAAAAACTCTGAAAATTCTTCTTTGTTACATCACTAGAGACACCAAGAATAATAAGAGATAACTTCAAGTTTCTAGCATATCGTAAATAATTTTTAAAGGTTAAAATTAGCTTTTTTTCTTAATGCACTAATAATTTAAT